AATTGGTTGAATTTGAAAAGCTTCAGTTTTTCCGATCTGAAGATAGCGATGAGGAACTTCGTCAGAAAGTGTGCTTGGAATTGGTCTTGTTATTGTTGTCAAAAGCTTAATGAAGAAAGGGGAGAACATAGTTGAAGAGGAAAAGGGGAGCCGATAGTCACAAAAGAATGGGTTTGATTTGCAGTTGAAGGTTGAGAGAGAGAGAGAGAGAGAAAGAGAGAGAGAGAGAGAGGGAGGGAGAGAGAGAGAGAGAGATAGGGGGAGGAGGAGTGGAGTTATGGGGGTAGACATTTTTTTATTTATATCTACAAAATTGAAAATGAAAAAAAAAATACAAAAAAGAAATTTAAAGGGCAAAACAGTCAATTCAAGTGCTCCATGGACCAAAACTAAATAATTTCTTAATTTTAGGACCAAAACTAAAGGAAAACCTTGATTTTGGACTATCCATGCAAATTTGAAACTTTTTGGACCCTATCCAAAGTTTTTTGAATACCATAGGAATCAATTTTGCAGTTTTGTCTTAATATTTTAATTTCCTTTTATTACAACAATTAAAAAAAATAAAAATAAAAGAAAAAAATACTCTCTCTCTCTCTCTCTCACTCTCTCACACCACCATTGAACCAATCAAAACCTTTCCTCCTAAAAATTGATGAACTAAACCTTTAATTAAACCTAATAACCCTCATCCTGAAAATCAATCCCTAAACATGCAAATCAAGCCTTACTAAACCATACACCTGCACATCGAAAACCACAGGCTGCAAGAGAAAAAAAAGGATTTGGATCGACACCTATGGTGGTCATCCGAAAAAGAAAACATAACTTGTTCGTGATTCATTCCATAGAAATCTCAAATCGGTCCTATTTCTAACCTTTCACACATGAAATCATGCCCCCTTTTTGTTGCTCTTGAAATGCATAGTCGCGACTCAATTAGAACAACAAAATGATTACCATCAAACAATTCGATCGGAACTCTCCTGATCTCCTCTACTCAGTGAATTCTTTACTTGCCGGAATGCAACCCATAATTTCAGGGCTCGTTGCAAAGATCAGAGAGATGGAGATGAGAGTATCAACATAGATTAAAGAGGGGAAGAGAAAGAGTCTTCGTTGGTGAGAGATTGGGGGATCATCGAAAAAGAGATTGTGTATGTTCATCATTTGTATATTTATCATATTCTTCCTCCTTCGATACTAAGAACCATTTCTTCCTAAAAAAATCAAACTTGAAAACCTTGAAATCAAACCTTGAAAACCAAGGAAATACATGTTTAAAAGGTCTGAGTGTTCATCATATGTATATTTATCATCTAGTTTTACAAGTTTCTCTGAAATCAGAACTTGAAACATTGAAATCGGGCCTTGAAAACAAGCTATATCACCACAAACATCGATTATCAATTGAAATGAAACTCTTGGTGTCACCATTGTTCATCGGTTAAACTCACCTGCGTGTATACATCCCTTACTACTTAGATAGATTTCTGTAATTCACTCTGTATGAGGGAAAATGCTTTGAGGTTCGAAAAGGGTTGTTTATAATAGGGGATTATGACATCCGAGAAGAGAATAGGGGAGGAGAAGGTCGTTAACCTCGATTTGGACCTGCAAGATGAGAGAGATACGAGAGGAACATATAGAATGAGAAAGAAGAGTCGGAGAGAGAGAGAGAGAGAGAGATGGAGAGAGAGTATTTTTTTCTTTTATTTTTAATTGTTGTAATATAAGAAATTAAAATATTAAATAATAAAGGGCAAAATCATCTTTTTAAAAAGGTTCAAACAAAATCGGATCAAACTCGCAACAAAATGAAAAGTTTGGACCTCTGATGTTAATCCAAACTTTTTTGGACCAAAATGACAATTTTCAACTAACCACAGGGACCATTCGTGCAATTTTGTCATATTACAATTTCGAAACTAAGTACATTGTAATCATAGTTTAACGACATTTTTTTTTGTAATACACATCTCAACATAAAATATCATTAAAATACGCAAGTCAGTTTTTTTCTCATAGCAGGAACTCACATAAATCCTAAACCATATTTCCAACTCCCATATAATCTCGATTCTAATATAAGTTGCTATATTTTTATTCAATCATTTAAAAGATTTCGTTAGTAATAAATTAATAAACACCATAATATAATAATATAAGTAATTATACTTTGATTATAAAATTTAAAAAGATAAGAATACTATATATATACATGGTATTGAAATATAATTATTGAAAGAGAGAAATTATAAGATTCTTAATAAAAAAACATAAAAAATTACAAAAAAAGAGAAAAATAAATACCAAAACGAAAACTTAATGGACTAAATCCTAAAAGGACTAAATCCTAAAAGTATATGGAGTTTCATATAAACATATGAGTTAAGGCCATCTCGGCATTTAATGGAGAGTTTAATGGAAAAAAAAAACCTAAGTGGTAGTTGAATGGATATAGAAACCATTGTGGAGTGGATTGATTGAATGAGGGGTTTAATCCCCATTCAACCGTTGTATGGTTTTTCTTATGTTTTTTTTTTTTTTTTTTCTCAATTTATTATATAAGCTTATTATTTTTTTTTTCTCATTTTATTGTAAACACTTTTTTTTGTTTTTCTTTCTCAATAGAAAGTAATATTTAATATTTTTTTTTACAATAAACTATATATATATATATATATATATATATATATATATATATATATATATCATATTTTATTTTATTTTATATTCAATAATTTAATTTATTAAGTTACTTCATATTTTTTATTATAAACAATAAAAAAAATATATAAATCTTAAAAACATTTTAAAAAAATAACATCTTATTTATTATAATACAACATAGTGATATTACATATTAATAAAACGTTCCCAAATGTGCTCCATTAAATCATGTCGAAGAGCATGATGTACGGTATTATCGCGTAGTTCAGAGTTTCTTTGAATTTGATATTGAACTTCTTCGACAGGTCCTCGATTCACACGTATAGGAGGATCAACATCATCTGACCAATTACTAATTGCATTTCCTTCATTTTCTACGATCATATTATATAATATAATGCATGTATACATTATATCCTTTATGTTTTTAAGTTGCCACGATCTTGGTGGACCTCGTACAATTGCCCAACGAGATTGAAGAACACCAAATGCTCTCTTCACATCCTTTCTTGTAGCCTCTTGCATTTCTTTAAACTTAATCCTTTTTGGGTCGGCCGGATGTGGAAAACTTTTAACCATTATAGCCCATTCAGGATATATACCATCTGCAAGATAACATCCTTTTGTGTATGTTCTTCCATTAACAGTAAAATTGCATTCAGGAGCATAACCTTGTAATACATCATTGAATAACGGTGACTGGTTAAGTACATTAATGTCATTGTTAGACCCGACAACCCCGAAATATGCATGCCACATCCAAAGTTCTTGTGATGCAACTGCTTCCAACATAATTGTTGGACAACCTTGATCACCTCGAGTATATTGACCTTGCCATGCAACCGAGCAATTTTTCCAAGGCCAATGCATGCAATCAATACTTCCAAGCATACCAGGAAACCCGTGCTTTTCTGAATGTTTTTGTAGTAAATTTTGGATGTCATTAGCATTTGGTTTTCTCAAATAATGGCTTGAATAAACCTCAATCACGCATCGACAAAAGTTTTGTAGACATTCGATTGAAGTTGATTCACCAATTTGTATGTATTCATCAAAGAGGTCACCAGTTGTGCCATATGCCAACTGACGTATGGCAGCAGTGCATTTTTGCAAAGGGGAAAGACCATTGTTTCCTAAGGCATCTTTTCTTTGTTGAAAATAAATAGAATGGTTAGAGATACCGTTAACTATTTGAACAAATAGTTCTCGCCTCATTCGAAATCTTCGTCTAAACGTTTGAGGTGGGAAAACAGGATGCTCATCGAAATAGTCTTTCCAAAGACGTTTATGCCCTTCTTCACGATTTCTATCTATATATCTTCGACTTTGCCCAGGACGTCTTGAACTTTCAGCATCTGACTGTTCTGCTTCCAAGCATTTTAGCTCCTTATATAGTTGAAATGTAGAATTACTTGTGAGATGGTTGATTATGAATTCAGAAGCAGAATCGTCTGAGGATGATGATGACATCGTATAAGAAAGATATAAGAAATAGTTTGAATTGGTAGGTATGAAATAATAAAAACGTTGTATTCTTTTATAGCAAAAATATAGAGTCAAATGAAATTCAAATTAAAGTAAAATGAAATCCAAATTATATTCGAATGAAATTGAAATTAAAGTAAAATGAAATTGAAATTAAGGTGAAATGAAATCCAAATTAAAGTTAAATGAAATTGAAATTGGAGTCAAATGAAATTGAAATTAAAGTGAAATGAAATCCAAATTAAAGTTAAATGAAATTGAAATTGGTGTCAAATGAAATTGAAATTAAAGTGGAATGAAATCCAAATTAAAGTTAAATAAAATTGAAATTGGAGTCAAATGAAATTGAAATTAAAGTGGAATGAAATCCAAATTAAAGTTAAATAAAATTGAAATTGGAGTCAAATGAAATTGAAATTAAAGTGGAATGAAATCCAAATTAAAGGCAAATGCATACAAGATGTTCAACTCTATAAATAAAGACGAACATATTATATTCTCATTCACACCTACCAACCATCCGATACACCAATCATGAATCCGAATTACTATACACACTTGTTATCTTCTTATGATCCCGAAAATCCAAACAATCATCCACAACATCCATACCCAAATCCAAAAAATCATCTACAATATCCATATCCAAGTCCAAACAATTATCCGCAATATCCAGACCCAAATCCAAATAATCATTCACAACATTCATACCAAAATGCATACCCAGATTCTACCAGCCCGGATCCTCCCCATATTCCAGAAAATGAGCCAACACCAACAGAAACTCCTACCAACAAACGACAAAAAAAATAAAAAAAACCTACTGGAGCAAAGAAGAAGAAATGTTGTTGGCAAAAGCTTGGCTACAAATTTCAGAAGATAGCATTACTGGAAGTCAACAACGTGATAAAGAGTTCTGGAGACGAATTATTGCATACTATGAAAAAAGCAACACGTCGAACGTTGCAAGAACTCAAGCCAACCTCAAAACGCATTGGCATTACATGAACCCATTTGCAGTTGCATTTAATCAAATGTATATAGTGTTGAAAAGTCAACACCTCAGTGGATGATCTGAGGATGATCTCAAACGTGCAACTTTTGAGCATTATCATGCTAGATATGGTGCCGATTTTAGGCACGAACATATTTGGAATATCGTTAAAAATGAACAGAAATGGAAAGGTTCAAGCACTGCATCTGAGGCATCTATGTCTTCATCAAATACATAATCTTTCATTAACCTGGATAATGATGAAGTTACAACTCATCCAATTGGTAGGAATGCAGCAAAAAAAGCAGCAAAAGGGAAAGTTACCAATTCCACTTCGTCATCTGGTAATAGGCTTGATGAAATACTTGAAAAACATATAGAAGAAAATAAAAAGACTTTTGAACGCTATCAAAACTCTTTGGATATGAAAAATGCATTGAAAGAAAGAAAGATGAAGATTAAAGAAGAAAAGGTAAAGAATGATGAAATTTCAATCATTTTCATGGATCCCACTACCATGTCGGAAGATGGACGTGAAATTTGGAGAAATCGTTGTGACGAGATTAAGATAAAATACAATATGAAGTAAAATTTGTATTTTAGATATCGTACTTTTTATTTAGTATATTATTTGTAACTTTTAATTTCTAAATTGTAATCTTTAATTAATATTTAGTAATTGTAACTTTGAATTTCTAATTAATGTAATATTCTAGTTTTATTTATTAATATTATTTATAAAAAAAATTAAAATGATGATGTGGAAATCCATTGAACTCTTAAGAGTTTAATGGAGTGTAGAATTTAATATGTTAAATGGTATAGTTAGTGGAATGCTGATGTGGCAATCCATTGAACTCTTAAGAGTTCAATGCATTGGAGATGGCCTAACAAATACAAAAGTGAATGACAAATATTGAAAGTGATGTGATTGATCTAATGACATTAATGGCACATCATTTGCAACCAACAATTAAATAGTTAGGGGTGATACAAGATATCTGGAATTTGAGATAGTTAATTATTAATTTGGATATCCAAAAAAATTATATATTTTTTTGTCAATTCAATTAAACAATCCCAAAAATGAAACTATGTTGGCAAAAAGAAACATCTTCATTTTTTTTATTTTATTCGAAACAATAAGAAAACCTAATGATCGTAAATTAGTTGATGGAAAATTACAAGATTTTCGTCTAAATTCATGGAGATTTGAGGTAAATATCGTATTTGCATTGATGATCATACAATTGGTATGAGATAATATATGCTTAATTAAATTACGAAGAACAATTTACATATAAAGGGGAAAAATAGATACGTATGTGCTATATACTGCTAGCCATTGATATTGCAAAGAAAAAAATTAATTAATTTGAGGTCAAATTGATTTTTATTTATTTATGTTTTATTTAGTTAAGTTGACTAGCACAAAAGGTTTAAGTTAACAAGTAATGCATTTAAACATATTGAAAAATAAAGAAACAAATAATCTTAGGATCAACAAATAATCTTAGGATCAAGACAATCAATTAATTGTTTTCTTCTAAAAATTAAGTATTTATTTATTTTTATGTTTCCAAATTTACTAAACACATCGAGGTCTGATTTTTTGATTTTGGGGAATGAAATCCGATTTATTATTAGCATTTTCTTCAATTCGTTTTTCAAATAATATCTTATACTTTATATCTTATATCTTATATTATATTATAAATCATAGTAGTTATATTTTGAATTTTAATAGGTATAAGTTATAAAGTTTTTTTTTATACAAATCAATTATACATAAATAAATCATTAATATTTATCAAAAGTTTGAAGCATTGATTAAGAACATTTTCAATGGGAGATTTTTTAAAGCTTATTACTATTAACATTTTCAATGGGAGATTTTTTTTAAAGCGAATGGGTGGGAGCTTCTTTTCTTCTTCTTCTTCGTCGTCGTTTGAAAGTGATAGCCCATCGACGCCAGTTTGGGGCGGTTGGGTCTTTGTAGGGTCAGCGGTTGAAGTTGAGCGGGAGGAAGGATTGCTAGAATTATTCATGAAGATCGTTTTTCTTCTTGTGTTGTTTTATATCTTCATGCGCATTACCCAATATATCGAGAAAACAAGTGTTCTCAAGCTTTAGGTATATATTATGTTCTTTCTATCAATTATCTACACCATAACCTCAATTTCTAATGAGTAACTATTATCCTTTCTACTTTTTAAGGTTGGATTGTTGGGTACGGGTAAATCACTGCAAAAGAATCTCAATCAGATTGCTGAGACAACTGATACATCCAAACCTGAGGGCTTGAGATAGGGGTGAGCATAATAACCGAAAAACTGAACCATAACCAAATTAACTGATATAACCGAACCATAATAACCGAACCGTTTTAAAAACCATTGGTTTAGTTTCTAATTTTTGTTAACCGATAACAAACGTTCCGATTTTGGTTTTATAGGTTAACCGAACCATTATTAACCGAACCGCTAACTTTATATTTTAATACATAAAAATTATGGATTATATATAAAATAATATAGTCAAACTTATTTAAGACCCATTAAAATTTTAAAATATAATTCATTAATCCTCACTTATCAGGAGGCGAACATGCATTCAAACCCTTAAAGGATGATCACATAGATTATGCAGACACACACAATTTTCCAATCATGCATTGAGTTAGATTATTGATTAATGTTATAATTCTTAGTCGGCTAATTCTATAATTTGTAAACATTATTCACAATTAGTTTAATCTTCACACTCATAATCCTAATCGGAGGCTTTTCACACCGTTAATCCTAATAAAAGATTGTTTTGACTTTATAGTTCTATTCTATGGATTTTTTAAATTTATAATCAAAACTTTTAGGTAAGTTAAGTTTTTGGTTCTTCTTCACTTTGTGATATATTAAGAATGTATTTTTTTAATTTTTTTTATTTACTGTTTTTGACTTAATCATATTGAATGTATATGAGTGATTTTTTATTTTTCAATCTAGATAACACGTAATATAAATGTTTAGCTATTTTATTTTATAGTTTTTTTATTTAATCTCATTCAACTTGTATGAATGTTTGGCTTTATTTTAATGTTAATATCGATTATCAATATATGAAGTTATTAATGTTGATTTTTTTTAATGTTTTATACTTTTTATTAAATGTTTTTGATTTTGAATGTGACTATGTGTTATGTCACACCGAGTATCAAAGATACACATTTTATTATATTAATATAAGCTAGGTTACAAACATTGATGCCAATGACTTTTTGTATTCTTTTTTTTTATTTTTTATGCCATTATACTTTCGTCATTTATATTATTTTGAACATTATGGTTAACTAATATTAACTATTAACCAAAACCGTTAACCAACAAAAACCATTAACCATAACCAATATTAATCATACCCACTGGTTACCAAAATGCATTAACCAATCATAATGGTTATGGTTCGGTTTTGACTAATAACCGAACCAAACCGCCCCATACACACCCCTAGCTTGAGATATGTATTACAAGGTAAAGAATGATGTTTAAGTACATGATATATATACAACTATTTTGGATATATGTCATTATATATCTATTATCTAATAAGGCAAAACGTTTATTAATTTGAGCCTTTACTAGTCATATGATCTTATGATTGATGTTTAAACTAATTTGGTTTTGGTTGCAGAGACAACACTAGCTCTACTTTGACATCCTGATTATTGCATCTATGGTTATTCCTCTGTATGCACTACACTATCTCATTTACATGGCTTTTCCTATTAAGTTATATAGCTTACCCATTAAGTGAATAAGAAAAACATCTTGGTTTGCATGTAGCAAAACACTATTTGTAGACCAATTATGCAACAAGAAAGCGCATTATTAATATATATTATTTTTTTGGAACATTGAATGTTTAGATTTTGGTTTATTAATTTGGTTCAGGTGGATGTGAAGAGGAGCATAGATGAAGGTGAGAAACGATTTAATCAACTTTCTATTGAAGAAAGGGGTAAATTTGATGAAGAGACTCTAGTCAATGTTAACAACATCAGAAAGCAAAGTGCAACAACTCAAAGATCTAATGACTTCCGAAATGAATATATTGTGGTCAGTACTGTTCACATATATCCCTCTTTTTGTCCATTATATACCATTTATTTCCAAGGTGAACGTTTCTTTCCCACTTTTTGTATTTTCATGATTTTCCCCGTTTTCTTAAATCCATCAATAGAGTTCATTTATTTCCATGTTATAAGTCATTCTTTCTGTGTAAGTACAAAAAAACATTGATATATAGTTTACCAAATTAAGTCATGCTCTCATTAAATGTAAAGATTACAATCATTGTGGCTGCTGAAGGTGTGGAATACCTACCATTTATATATAGCAGGGCACAATTAAAGAAAGCATTGCAAAAACTGGCTATCATCTCTTCAAAGAGAGTTAAGGTGGGACATATGCTCACTCATTTTTTTTATTACCTAGAAATCATGATTAATTTTTCCTGTTGGGTGTGCTAACTATTTGATGAATTTCAGGCAGTGGAGGTGTTATGGACCCCACAAAATGAAAATGATACTCTTACAGAGCGAGAATTGCTTGAAGATTATTGCCAGTTACGCCATATGTAGGTAACTCCATATGATGATGCTTTCAACAAATTGTACATGCTATGTAGGCGATGGTTATTGTATACATAAATGTGTGATTCCAAATGTTTTTTTTAACAACAGGTCACCCCAAGGTTCAAGAAGGTGTGATTCGAACATGGGACCTCTCCATTTTAGAATGTTAATATAGCTCTTTTGACAATTTTTGTTTTTGTTTTTTTTTGTTTTTTTTGTTTTTTTGTTTTTTTTGTTTTTTGTTTTTTTTTTTTTGCAGTGGTATGGTATTATATAGGCACAAGAAAATGATATAAGATTTTGTGGCTACATGCTTGTATAGCATTCTTGTTTGGGACTTGTATTTTATTTTTGAAGAAGTTTTTGCCATATGAAGGCTATAGATTCCATAATTCGATTTGTACAATGAATTTTAAGAGGTACAAGGTCATAATGCGATTTGTATAATGAACTTATGCATTTGAATCTTATTTGGTAAACAAAAATAGACAAGTGAAGACTAATTCAAAAATAGAACGGATCATACTAATTCAAATCGCCAATCTCCTCAATTTTAGCTTAAAATATGGGAGACTCATTCAAATCCTTTTTCCTCTATAAAATCCACTTGATATCGATTTACAAATCTTAAAACTAACTAATGTTGTTAACCTTACTCTTGTAGGACTTCTATGGATACCACCTCTCTCATGATCGAGAAAACAAAATATTGAGGTAATTCAAAAAAGTTTATCGCAATAACATTCTAACTCCCTATTTAATGGTGCTTGTGTAGGAAATGGAGAAAAAACAGCTTGAATAGTCGCTCGTAGAATCCATTATAGCCTTGGCCCTAGAACAGTCGAAGGCGTCAAGTTTTTGGATGAATTCTTACAACCTCGACAAAGTATTAAATTTTGTTCTTTTATTGTTTTAATTTTGAGGGTGTTTTTTCTAATTGGATGATGATGATTTGGAAGAACATCTCTCTCTCTCTCTCTCTCTCTCTCTCTCTCTCTAAAATAGATGAACCCTTTGATTACATCAGGTAAAATTTCATTCTCCTGTATAAACCCTTTGATTTTCCCAACAATGACACCTCACCCCACCATGTTTTTGGTATGTTAATTATAAGCTCTTGATTTTTAAAGATTTTAGTGCTTTAAACTTTTGTGTTGAGGAAACATTTAAGTTTGATGTTGTGATTTTTAGGAAACATTTAAGTTTGATGTTGTGATTTTTAGGTTTTTGTCGATTCTCAGAAAGAGGTGTTTGGATGTCTGGAACCTAGCTATGAAGGTATAGAGGAAAAAGGATTTGAAGGGGAATAGAACATTATGCAGAAAAGTTAGTTGGTCAACATGCTCTATGTGAAGTTATATTTTGGGTAAATTACAACAATCGTCCCTTGTGTACATGCCAGAAAGCGTGTTTAGTCCCTATTTTCAAAAATTAACTCGGACTGTCCTTCATGTGGTTAAAAGTTGCACGATTCATCCATCGTTAGTTTAAATTTGCACTTTTCATCCCTTGTGATACATAAAAAGCCCATAATACCTTTTTCTTTTTCATTTATTTTGAACATTTTTTTTATATTTTTAATTATTAAAAATTATTTCAAATACTTTTCTATTTTGTTAAATAACACCAAACCACCACCGATAATCTACACCACCACCGGAAAAAGAAGCACCACCGCCACCCCTCACCAGAAAATGGAGCACCACCGCCACCCCTCACTTCATCCCACCCACTCATTCGTTCAAATTTAAAATGTTTCACTGAAAATAACCACAACCACCACCGAACCAACTACATATACTCAAACCACCATCAAACCAACCATTTATTGTTAACATCACCACAACCTTTATTGAAATACTCACCTACAAATCTAGAAAGAATAACCAGGGAAAATCAAGAAGGAAGAATCACGGCATGGAAATGTTTAATTCAAAATCAGTAAAGGATTTAGAGTTCTTAAATTGAAAGCAGGTTTGATTAGTAAACCTCCAAATATGATTCGATACCAGGGATATGGCAAGAGTAGGTTGTAAATTTGCACTTCGTCTAATTCATTGTTCATCAATTTCTTACCCCTTAACCTCCAATTCGTTGTCTTCTTCACTTTACAAGAAGAAAGAGACGCATCTAGTGATCGATTGGAGGGAGAAGAATAAGGTTGTATCTGTGTTGAGACTTGTTGTGGGTATAAACACGTAAAATCAGAACTGGAGGTTGTGATGATGGTTGCAATTTGTAGAGAAAGACAAGTTGCATTATTCTCCTTCTTATTCCCTAATTAAAACCCTTGAACATCCGTCTTTAGAAATCTTTGGATGGTACATCACATTAGCCTCGATTGAATCAAATTCTTACCCTAACCTCATTATCTTAGATCTATAAACCCTATGTTTTCTCCGATGAGCGTCAAGAAACCCCTTCGATTTTGCACCCTTTTTAAATTATAGGACCAATTTCTGTGTGGTCGCCAGCGTAGTTGCAGAAGAGATGAGAATGTGACTTAGCGGATCTATGATGGTGGTGCTTTGTCAGAAGTCATTGGTCTCCTTTTTCACCTGTTCACCACCATCGGAAGTTGCCAACGGAATTTCAGATCAAGGTGGCAATGGTGTTTTGGTTCAATGATTTAGGTTTCTTATGAAGGAGGTAAGAACAGGGGAGAAGGGAAGTGCCGTACAGAGGGCTTGAAATATTTGGTTGTCACACCCCCAAACCAGAATGGCGGAAACAATCGGGGGTGGGTGACTTCACGTAGTATCATAACAGTTGAATATTGTAAAAAAAGTAAACACAACCATCATATATATAACAAAAACTTACATTGTTGCGTAATACATGTTTCAAAAGAATATTACAAATATGATGATTTAAAATGTTTTGATAATAGACACCTTAGCGTTCCTTCTCCAAAAGTTGATGGTTACCTGTATTACTGATTCCCTGAGAAATACAAGTAGTTTCGAAAAAGTGTCAACAATTAAGTTGGTGAGTTCATAAGTGTTTTTGCACTGAAACTTGTATGTCTTTTGGTAAAAATAGAAGAATGTGTTTCCCAGAAAATCTAATATTTTCTACATATAGTTTGAAAGTCCCAAAAGTCGGAGTGCATTAATATCTTTTGTGCTCAAATGATGAAAGTAAATTTATACTCAAAATAATGTATTTACTGAATGCATTCAAGAGTCTCGTAAATCAAACTCATTTTAATACTTCCGTGTGAGTTTTATAACCATGCTATTGACACAGACTGCTTGTAACAACGTTCTTCAGGCATTGTAGTGTTATGACGTTTGTCACCCAGACCTGTCGGTCTAACTGTAGCTAACAGTTTAGGTGTGAGATTGTCAATACCGTATAGATCTATACACAAGTATCATGCTCTCCCTCCAAAAGATTATGGTTTATAATACAGGACTTGAAATGCATACTTGAAAGTACGTTGAAGTTGAATATCTCACAACACTTAGTATAAATAGATTTACGATAAAGAAAGTCTATATTTCATGCAGATGAAAGTATTTCATTTTCACAATGTTTAGGTAAGAATATAATGAATAACCCGCAAACTATACCCATTATAGTTTTTACGAAAGTGTGTTCCATTTGGTAATAATAACTCGATGAAATACTAACTTTTCATGCAAAGTACAATGTTGATATCGAAGTATTTAAAAATATAGATGTTGTATTTAAAACGATATGTTTTCTCGTATTGCACTTGTATTCCCCCTAAAATATGAAAAAAGACGTGAAAAATTAGGGGTATGAACTCACTTGGAAAGTGTGATGATTCGAAGAAAATGAGCTTTTTCTCGGGCGACACTTCGACCGGAAAGAGGCGAGATTCTCGGGAATCTCGGGTCTTCGGACCTTCGTCGGGGTTGGGGTATGAAACCGGGGTGTCGGGGTCATCTCGGGATGCTAAAAGGGAAGTAAAAGTGAGAGAGAAGAGAGAAATGAGCAAGGAAAGTCGGAAGTCTCGCATCCTATTTATAGGTGAGGACCCACTGACCGAAGTACGCAGGGCGTACTCGTGCGTCATGGCTTACCGCATCATCGACTGTTGGTCTTCGGACGAGACGGGCGTAGAGGGATAGGGGCGACGTGATCGATCCGAGGCCCTCCATCCAGTACGCTGGGCGTACTCCGAAGTACGTTGGGCGTACTCCTTCGGATAAGCCTTGAAATGCGTGCCGAAAACTTCTAAAATGCGTAACTTTTGCATACGAGCTTCGTTTTCGATGTTCTTTATATCCACACGAAGGTGAGAAAATACTCTACAACTTTCATTTAGACTCCGTCGGCTAATTTTGAATTTATTTTCAATGCTATTTTAATTAATAGGCCGGGACACGATAATTTCGTTAAAAATCCATAACTTCTTTATCCGACGTCCGTTTTCGTTTGCCTTTTTACCATTGAACTACTATTGTAGAGACCTTCAACTCTCGTTTAGGTTGTGTTGGCTAAATATCGCTTGATCTTTATTTCGAGTTTTTAGCTGTCTACCGCTGTTACGAAACTTAGAAATTTCGTAACTTCTTCATACGAAGTCCGATTTGGGCGTTCTTTTTATGCACGTTCACGGTTTAACGTAATCTACGACTTTCGTTTAGATACCTATGGTTAAAAAGCATTTTATTGAAATTTCACTTTTTACGATCAACAATGTTTTAATCAGTGTGTCGTGGATTTTCGATTGGTTATAACTCTTTCATTATAACTCAGATTTGAGTGTTCTATATATTTTTGGAAACCTTGACACGATATCTAAGGTGCTGTTTGATTTTCTGAAACGAAAATTTATGAAGTTTGCGGACCACCTCTGCAACCCTCTACAGTAGAAGAGGTGGACCAAACGACTACAGACTATAATAAGAAACGTGTTTGTTTTTTTAACATCTGCATACCGCTGCAGATATTAAAAAATTAAAATAAACTAATTTTATAAACCGAAAATAGCTTTTTAATACGTAAAATTTAATAATGTATAACATTTCGGT